TGAACTGTACCGCATTTGAACCCCCCCCCTTCTTTCTTCTGTACCCCTTTGAACTTATGCAACAAAATAAAAAAATTGTCAAATTGGAAAAAAAAAAAAAGCAAGGAGGGAGCCGGCAGCGCTACCAGCTCCCTCCTTGTAATAAATAATATGCATTCTCCCCCTCCCCCCTGCATTAAAACCATATTAATAAAAGGGAGGTTTATGCCGCGAGTAGGGGCATGTTGCTTAAACATTTAAAACTACTAGTGACTGTGCAGCTATTGCTGCCCAGTTGTTAGTGCTGTTTGCCCATAGTGGGGAACCCAAATAACAAAACTGGGGGGACAGGGCCCCCCGTACCCCAACCCATGACCCGTGGGTGAGGGCTATTAATATAAACGGGGGGACTTAATATAAATGGTGGGTGGGGACCTTAAATAATTAAATAAAGGGGGGGACTCCTAATGTCCCCCCCATGTCCCCACACATGACCGGTGGGTGAGGACCTTAGTTAAATAAATAATGGGGGGAACATAATTTCCCCCCCCAGGTTCCCACCCGGTGGCTGCAGGTGAAGACCCTAACCGACAATGGGGGGGACCTATTGTCCTTCCCCCATGGCTCCCACCCTTGAGCGGCGGGTGGGGACCCTAAGTAACAAAAGGGGGGAACCTATTATTTCCCCACCCATTGAGCGGCGGATGGGGGCTAAGTATAAAAAATACCCCCCACAAGTAACTAGGGGTCCCCAAACCTCTAGTCATCCACATCCCAAATAAAATTAAACACTATCTACCCCCTCACCCTAACAATAGTGAAGGGGGAACAAAAAACTAGCACCCTGTAAAATAAAATTTCATGCTTACCATTAGATGTCTTCTTTTCTTTCTTCAGCCCCAAAAAAGTGCAAATAAAAATCCATAATTGTAGCAACAGTTAAAATAAAAAAAAACCTGAGCACAAAAAAAAACATGCTGAAAAAAGAAATAACGGATTCCAAAAACAATAATACATCTTCACCCAGCGAAGGCAGTGCGCATACTGAGCTCCGCAGGGCGGGAAAGGCTTATAAAGCCTTCCCACGCCCTGCAATTTGACTCAGAGCGATCTGATTGGTTGGTTTAAGCCAACCAATCAGAGTGCTCTGACAGGTCATTTTACACAGCGTGGGAAAATTCCAAAGGAGGTGAGTATTATTCCTCCCATTAAGCCACCCTTTTCTTTATGTCTCAGCTTAATCCTGTTTGGAGTTTTGTTCTTATCCATGGAGTTTACTCTACTAGATACTTCTTCTAGATTCCCAGCTTGAAAAAGGAAGAATATTGGGGATCATTCACTATATGTCTATGACTATGCCGGATGCTGATTGACTACTGAGTGTTCCATGTCAGTTACTCTGGTTTTTGTCTTTTATTCACTAAACTTTATTTTAAAAAAATGTCTTTGCTGCTGGAGTTAAGTAAAGAAAGTTAATACTTTTGACTGTTATTTGGCTGACTATTATCTCCATTGCTATATATTCTCCTTATTGAACCTCTGGCAAGTTGCATCTGTAGTTCATTAGATATAAAGGGAATTTCAATGTTAGATAAAGGTTGCAGGATTATGCTATATGCATATTACATCATTCTTACTGAGTGATTTAAATAAATCCATACCTGCGTTTTTAGTTATGCTAAAAGAACTTGATTCATATTGAAACTAAAAACGAAATATCAGCAAAACACAAATTATTACAGCTAATATTGAATCTGAGCAATTGGAGAGATTAAAAGCAAGGTACGAATTTGTTTAGATCAATCGAGAATTAAATTATCTGGGAACTAAGCTATGTTTTGCTATAAGCCAAATAGTTAATATCAATTATAACCATCTTTTTTTATGAGCTTAAGCCTACTATGGAAAATGGAGCAGTGTTTATACTTTCTGGCTAGGTAGGATAAATATCGTTTGATCTTACATAATGCTGTTAATGCAATATCTAATGAGGACTATTCCAGGTTCCTAGAAAGATTCCTAAATCATTTTATAAACTTTTTTATAAATTTCTATGAGGTTATAAAAACACTAAGTTATCAGGTATTTAGGAAATATGATGATGGAGGAATGTCCTTTCCTGATGTTTTTGATACTGTGGATGCTATTATGCTTTCACATTATATGGCATGGAAAGTTGATAGAGAAAGTCTCCCTCAGTGGTATGAAAGGTTTTGTTGTATTAATACTGATCCATCACTGTTACATTGGATAGAACGATAAGGGAATGAATATTAACAATAAAATTATTCTAATATTTATGATTCTATATTATTATTAAAAAATAAAATCTCCAGAAACATTGATTATCCTATATATTTTTTACCCTTAGAAGTGATAAAGGTTTAAGACCTTGGAAAGATAATGGAATCCATCATTTGGGGGATTTGAAGGAGGATGTTATAACAAAATCATTTCATCAATTACAAAAGTTCTGTGAATTGCCTTCAAATGAATATTTCACATATTTAAGATTAGTAAACTTTCTGAGATCCAGATCAATGATAGAAGATTCTATATAGATGAGAGAACAAAAATAATATAAAAGATAAACAAAAATATTTATAATATGAAACCTAAGGGAAAATTGACTGTAATGGAAAAATGGGAAAAAGGTTCATTCTGATTATTAAAAAAAAAAAAAAAAACATACTAATAACATTTGAGACCCAACTAAAAAGTCTCCATAGATGTTACTTGATCCCACAAATATTATTCAAATATAATTTTATTTAAATTAATGTTGAGTTTGAAAAAAAAATTTAAAATATAAACATACAACAATTAGACATACAAACATTCAATACATGTTCATATAAATGTAGATCTTAAAATCTTATTATCTCTTACATGACATTTTAAAATTTATCTTTATAACATAACATACCAAGCTATATGAATTGAAAATTTTGAGAAAAGAGATTACTTTTGTTCTATTGTTTACGGCAACAATCAATTAAGGCTTAGTGAAAGTATACTTTTCTTTGTCTTTACTTTTTCCTTTCCTTACTTTCTTTCTTTGTTTTTTTAAATTGTTTTTCATACCCATTTTTTCTTTTTCTTTCTCTTTGATGAGTTGTCATCCCTTTCTTCTCTTTTGTTACCTTTTCTTAGTCTACCTTAGGTTTTTTACTTTTAAGACATTTTCTTGATTATTTTAATCCATTCAGAGTATTTAGGAAGGAGATTAAGGGTGTTATTAGAGAAGGCAACTCCTTTCTCCTTTTCGAGTTGATGTAGCAGTTAGTTTTTAAACTGGGGGGCTGTCGGAATCAAAATTTGTCTCCATTGTATTGCTATCTCTATTTCGGCTGCCATAAGACTATGGTGGATCAATACTTGTGAGCTTTTAGGAACTTTACCCCAATTATGGTGGAGAAGGACTGAATCTGGAGACGTACTTATGTTAATTTTTAGAATTTTTTTTACATCGGTATTTACTAAGTCCCAGTATCCAGTTATTATTTTTATTGCCATTTATATAGCGCCAGTAGATTCTGTAGCGCTTTACAATATTAAATTATTCTTGGGCAGTTCCACCAAATGTGTAACATTGTGCCCTCTTAAACTTCTCCACCATAATGATGAGTTACTTGAGGAAATTTTAAATAATTTAGTTGGGACTACGTACCACCTCTGTAAAATCTTAAATTGGGTTTCTAAAATTGACAGTGGATATTTTTTTTCGTTAACACAGAGCTCCATTCTTTTTATGGGATTATCTTACTCAGGACCTTCTCCCATTTTTTGTATGCTGGTGTTTCTGTTTGACAATAGATTTGTCTAATTAAATATTTGGCTATAGATCCTACCGCATCAACTTTCCTGCTGTTAAATCAAATCTAATTTTAATAATTCTAATTGCTATTGGAGATGTAATTCTGAAATAGGGTCCTTATGTCACATATGGTGGACTTGTAAGAAATTTAAAAAGTTGAAACTGATGATAAGTAGGGTTGTGGAAAATTTCTTGAAGATACAGGTCTTAATCAGTGCTCAGTTTTTTCTTTTTCAGCTTAATTTGCAGAGTTCTAGACCTTAACCCCTTAAAGACCAAGCTTCTGGAATAAAATGGAATCATGACATGTCAGACATGTCATGTGTCCTTAAGGGGTTACACATCCTTTATTATTCACAGTGTTATTGTGGAAAAAAATAGTTTGTCTAGGTATTGGAAATTAACTTCAATAACAGATTGGAACAAACTTGTTACACAGATTATCAGTTCATTTTGCATAAAGAAATATCCTTTTAAAAATATGAACAATGTGATATTATCTGAGGAAATCTGGAACCCGTGGGCATTGTATTATTCTTAAAACTCAATAAATATATTGGTTTAGCCCCCCTTTATCTCTCATTCCATATCAAGAGTTGTTTGAATATAGTTGTTTGAATATTTTTTTGTACATCATGGTTTATGTCTGTATGAGCTTTATTCTATCTAATGTACATGAAACAAAAATGTATAATCAGAAGGAACAATTGCATATTGTATTATGTAAAAAGTTTGAAATTATTTATAAAAAACATTTTCTAATAAAAAATATATTTAACAAAAATAAACAGCTATAGTTGATAAAACAACCAATCACATACCACACCCAGTGTTAAATACAAGTTATATACTTCACAATCTGCTTAATGCTGGATTAAGCCAAAAACACAGGTGATAAAAACACAGCAAGTAGGAATCAGGCTCTGTATAAACAGCTTCAGGGTGCCAAAACTGGCTATGATTATTTCTCCATAAAATGGACATGTAATGGATCTTATTAAATACTTAATTTGAAGGGGGTGCAGCCAACTGAGAGAGCCCTAAGGAAAAGCATTGTATTTGCAATACAACCAGCCGATACTTACCCCAACATAGCCCAGGCGACATGGGAAAGAGAGGCAAGCCCTGCAGAAGCTAAATTACCTCCTCTTGCAAAGATATAGGCAGTTTGCTTCGGGTCACTCCACAGCCGCAGCCTTCCAAAATGGCACCCGTGTGGGAGGACTCAGATACTGCATCGGAAGAGAGCAACGAGGACTCTCCATTTCCCAACATACATGGTACGAGGGTTATCTCTGAACTCCAGGTGAAACATCAGCCAGTATCCAAACAGGAAAATCCCAGTGTCTCCCTGGAACAACAGCCTGCAAGCAAAGCAGACATCCAAAACCTGCTGAAAGAAATGCAAGCCCTTTTTGCTGCTGACATTGCATTAGTCAGGGAGGACTTAGCCGGCATAACAGCTAGACTGCAGACGCTGGAGGACTCGGGTGCAATGCAGGCAGGATGACCATCAGTCCGAGATGGACAGGCTAAGCAAGCGAACCTCCTCATTGAAAGTAGGATTGCAGCACTTGAAGACTCCAAGTAACAGCGCAACCTCTGGATTCAGAGTGTCCATGAGGACATTGCAGACACCGAAGTCCCTCATTACATCCGGCGCCTACTGAGCTCTCACCATCTAAGTCCAAAGCAATCATGCTGGAGACCTACTTTCAGATCCCCATGTCAGTTAGAGCCCCGGAAGTGGTCCCAAAGGACTTGTTGCTATGCTTCCAATCACTACGGAGCAAGCAGCTTGTACAGGCAGCTGTCCGCAACTCATCAACCCACCACTTTGAAGGTGCAGACCTCTTCTTTTATAATGACCTGACTGGGTCCACCATGATCTGGTGACAAGCTCTCCGCCCAGTCACTCAGCACCTGAGGGAACGTGGGGTGGCATACCATTGGGGCCCCCGGCCGCAAACTATCAGTGCTCCATGACAGGAAGAGAATACAACTACTGCAACAGTTGGACACAGGGTAGACTCTTATCACCCCCTCTAGAAGCAGACTGTACCAGCATGTACACTAATCATAAAAAAGTGCATTGCCCACCTGATATTGCCCTACCATTTCACAGCTTAACTGCGATGTACTTAGTATAATTTGTAGCCATGTATCACTGTTTATAACCTGTTGTCGAATGCACACAAAAAGTAGCATGATATGGTTTTACCAATCTGTATGATTACTTATATGCTACAATAAAAAATAAAATATAAATAAAACAAAAAATACTTAATTTAATTTAAAAAAATGTTTGTATAAAAATACATGATCAAGACATGTTTAAGCAGTTTGTAACAAGCAGCACATTGGAATATATACACTACTGCAAATCAATGAAGCCCTTCACGAGATGTACAATGTGCAAACGCGTTTCGACTTGAAGAAGTCTTCCTTAGTGCAGAAATAAAGCCTCCTGTACCTATGCCCCTTATATTGGATTCCTACTAATTGCTGACGTTCCTTCATCTGTTATCATGCCTCTTCCCACGTTCAAGTGTCATTTTCGGCTTGTGTAGTCATATCCGCTCCGGCCTGTGTAAGGTCTTTCCGGACCAGAAATTCCGTAACATCCATTTTGGCCAAGGGCAAACTTGCCCAAACACAAAAGTCCATCCTATATTAATTGGAACTTAAAGCAAATAATATTAGTGAAAGGGTATAACGAAGGTATACTACATAACAAGAAATTATACAGAGACTTGGTGCACTATAAGTATTCCATGTTGGATATATACAGACTTTAATATACAGAATTTGTTAACTTTTAAAAATATAAATATAAAAATAGAGAATAGTAATGGCAATAATAATAAAATAAAGATACATTAGACATACAATAATTAAAAATTGCAAAGTGTAGGTGGAACCCAGCATGGTGGTAAAGAATATGTAACGACAAAGAAAAAAATTTATGGGTTGTTTTTTTTTTTTTTATTATATATAATCTCATGTCTAACTCAAATATCGATTTACTTTCAACCTTGCGGAGTTCTTTAAAATTGTCTTTGCCTCGCGAGTTGAACCTTTTTTTAACTTTTTATAAATCGCCATATAATTCAAATAGGAGGGATCTTCATTATGATGTTTCAAGAAATGGACTGATATGCTATGTTTGGTGTGTCCCCTCTGAATATTACCTATATGTTCAAGCATGCAGGTTTTCGGACTCCTTGTCGTCCTAGCACCATACTGTAAACCTCAGGGACACCAGAGGAAATACACCACATTTGTTGAGTGATAGGATAAGGTGCCTTTAATTTTTTTTAGAGATATTAGATGTAAATTCTACTTGATTTGACTTTTTTAAATTTGTCTTCTTGCATGCTGTACATATTTTGCAGGGATAAAATCCTTGGGATAAGTTAAAATTATTCTTAATTAAACTTTTAACTAATTTATTACTCTAAGATGATATTTGGTCTATCTCACAATATTTCTTTGAAATCCTTTCAAAAAATCAGAAATCAGAGATTATAAAAAGGGGAGTTTCCATAATTTTAGATTTTAATGGGGATTCTAATCATATAAAACATATTTTTAACAAACATTGTTATATCTTGAAAACAGATTCTGAAGACAAATTCTGTATATTAATATGACTGCTAGTATCATATGACTACACTAGCACGCCGGAAATGAAACGCGAACGTGACTGGGAAGGGGCGTGGTAAGGGGTTACCAGGAAGAAGGCCAGCACAACAACAGATGAAGGAACTTTAGCAATCAGTAGGACTAATATATAAGGGGCATAGGAACAGGAGGCTTTATTTCTGTACTGAGGAAAACGTTTTCAAGTCGAAACGCGTTTGCACATTGCACATCTTGTGAAAGACTTAATTGTTTTGCGGTAGTGTATAAATTCCTATATGCTGCTTGTTACACACTACTTATACATGTCCTGATCACTTTTTTTTTTTTTTATTCTTTATTTTGATTTTAATTGTGCACAAAATAACAATGGGCTTGCTCAGCCACAACAGCTGTTACAAGCATAACTTTGACAGGTGTGACAAACATGACATGGCATAAAAAGTAAACATTCTATATAAGTGTATGGTATCAATATAAACTTAGCGGCAATAAGACAAATTGGTTATGGGGACCCTGTTTTGTTGATTGTCTGTGGTAAACTTTTAAACTGAAGTAGGTGACTAAATTATCTGTCTGTGAGATTTCAGAGTATCATGGTATTCTATATACAATCATGGGTATTTTGGCAGGTTAACACTTACAGGGTGTCTGTTTGAATGGACACAGCACTGTTTGTAGAGAGAATCAGTAAGCTCTTCTCGTGTTGGACCTGTCGGTGAGTGTATAGGCTGTCGGCTTGGTACAATTTGGTCCAGGCTCTGTCGTGTTAGTTTAGTGAAGTCTAGTCAGGGGGATTCTCGGTGTCCTGATTGTGTGATCGGGATATCACATTTCTCTGGCATGGCGCCGTCACCAATGGGACTTGTCGTGTACCCCCTGTGGCAGAAAGTTGGAGGTTAAGGCCAGACTAGTTATCAAAAAGAGAGGCATGTCCCCTTTCCGTGGTGCAGGCTCCCCTGCCGGTCCACCATATTCTGGTCATGATGACTGACAGGGGAGAGCACCCCATACCCTGCTAGTTCCGTCGTCTCCCATCCGTACCCCCTGCGGTCCACATTGCACTCCCAGTGGAATCAGAAAACCTAGCTTTAGCACAACACTCTCTCTTTGGTCAACGTCCTGGCATGTCATTGGCATCCTGTAGTGTGAGTCCAAAAATGGTAAAGGAAAGTCTCGTCCCCGGTGCAACAGATTTCCATCTGGAGGTATTCCACAGTATCCGCTTGGGCATATTCGGGTCCATTACTGGCAGGAGTGTGTTACGAGTTTTGGTAAGTCCAGGATGGTTTTAGCAACACTAACCATCCATCTGTCGAGCGGGGCTATGGTGGGTCTTCCTGTGCTGAGAGGGTCAGGACGGTGTCTCCCCGTTGCACCACCAGGGTGCCCAAAGCACCCCATCTGTAACGGATCCCATTGTCACGGAGTTCTTTCGTTATGGGCATGAATTTCCGTCTCTCTAAAAGGATGTTGAATGGTAGGTCGTCATAAATCTGGACTGGGCAGCCCTCTACCCTGATGTCTGGGGTACTCCTCGATCTGGCTAGGATTGCCGATTTGATTGAGTCCTGATTACATTTTTATATAAAAATGTTTTGTTTTTTTTAAACAAATTAAACAAAGTATTTTTAAGATCCATTTCAAACCCATTTCTACAGATGCCACGAACTGTCCGCCGAACTGTTCGCGAACTGTCCGCTGGCGAACAATAGCGTGTTCGCGTTGGGCGAACATATCCGATTTCCGGTCCGCCCCCTATACGTCATCATTGAGTAAACTTTGACCCGGAACCTCACAGCCAGCAGACACATTCTACCCAATCAGCAGCAGACCCTCACTCCCAGGAAGTGTCTGCTGACTGTGAGGTTCCGGGTCAAAGTTTACTCAATGATGACTTATAGGGGGCGGACCGGAAATCGGATATGTTCGCCCAACGCGAACACGCTATTGTTTGCCGGCGGACAGTTCGCGACATCTCTACCCATTTCATGGAGTAATAATCATAGCTAGTATTGGCACCCTGAAGCTGTTTATACAGAGCCTTAATCCTACTTGCTGTGTTTGGATATCCAGCATTAAGCATATTGTGAAGTATATAACTTGTATTCAGCGCTGTGTGCGGTATGTGATTGTTTATTTTATTAACTATAGGTTTTTTTTTTGTTATTTATTTGCACTTGAAGTTGATTGGGGAGACATTACACCACATTACATTTTGCTATATAGAAGCATTTGGTATTTTTTCCCCAGAGATCTTGTTAATAGTGCCTGTTATAAATGCGTTGCTAAATAATATAACTTGATTATATGTAACAGGCATTGTTTGGTTACTAGCCCAAACAATAATGTTCTACACTGCTTGTTAATAATTGACTTTAAATGAAAATCTGCTTCTATATAGTCTGTTACAGTTTAACCAAATGTTGTTAAAGGTGATTACATTTTTGAAACATAGAAATCAATGATATTTTTAGCATTTTGATTGATATTGATATTCGTCAGTCTTTTAAAATGACATTGTTGGGACGTATGTCTTCACCCATTGTTCAGCTCTAGTTATTATATATAATTAATCTAAAATAATTTGCTGTGGATGAGGCTACATTTCCCAGGGAATGTCCTACCGAGTTAAGGAAAACAAACCGTCCTTTACCAATAGAACTATTATCCTACAAATATCAGATGTATAATGACGTCCTTCCTTGATGTACCATTTCCTTTTTGTTAGATTCATAAAAAATACATTCACAAATAACTAACATAAAAAGGTCTGTTATCCATTCAATCATGTATGTAAAATAAATACTTGTGAAAAAAAAACAAATAAGCAATTGCTCATCATCACAAGTCAATAGATCTTTGTTT